AAAATTATGTTTAGCAATCTATCGATGTATAATTTCTAAATTTTAAAATGATCTATTTACACGAGCGGATCTACTAAGGGCACTATGGAGAGGCATTTGTCCCCAGTAAAAAAATATTGAAAATTTTCTTTTTTGTTTTTTTGGGTTTGTTCATTCGTGCCCACAATAAAAAAAACAGACCTCAGTAAATAGCCTTAGGGTCCGTTAGGTATATGGAATTGGGAATTGAATTGGAATTAAAATTTCATTGGATTCAATTCCACAGAATTGAATTATGCCAATTCCAATTCATTTTTTGCACTATCAATTCCAAATCCACATAATTTTTGTGCTACCAAACACCAGAATTGGAATTGAAGTCCTCAATTCCAATTCCATAGTTTGAATTCCATGTACCAAATGGGACCTTAAAAAAAATTTGAGGGCACTACCCTTGAACTTGAGCCCTATGATCTTGCCACTAATCAATTTTTTTTTCTAAATCCACCACCGTGTATTTATTAGATTTATAACAATTGTCATTTTTCTTTGTCGAGTCCGTAATTTATCTGGGTCTTTTTTTTTAAATTTGGAGCATATGGGGCTGTGAATTAAAGATAAGGGTGGACGGGCTACGCCTTACTGGATCACTAGCCCAAATAATACATTACATGCGTTCACAGGTCATTACCCAAAGTTAGAAGTTCCGGCCCAAAATACTATTGTTGTCCATATGGCCCAATTCGTCCAAGATGTCTTAAGCTCCGTTTGATACACGGAATTCAAACCATAGAATTAGAATTGGGAGCACCAATTCCAATTCTGTTGTTTGGTAGCACAAAAATATGTGAATTTGGAATTGGCAGTGCCAAAAATGAATTGGAATTGGAGAACTCAATTCCACGAAATTTCAACTCTTAATTCAATTCCATGTATCAAACACACTCTTAGGGTCCGTTTGGTATACGAAATTCATAGAATTGGAATTGAATTGGAATTGAAATTCCATGGGATTCAATTCCATCGAATTGAATTCACTAATTCCAATTCATTTTTTGTACTATCAATTTCAAATCCACATAATTTTTGTGCTACCAAACACCAAAATTAGAATTGAAGTCCTCAATTCCAATTCCATAGTTTCAATTCCGTGTACCAAACAGGGCCTTATGGTTATCTTTTTTTTCTTTTTCTTCTGGATCCAGCCGATCCACTAGGTAAAGCTTCTTCTGATTTTCAACAGATGGATTTATTAAAGTCCAATTTGATTTGATTTTTTTCTTATCGATGTCACACACAAATAATTTGAATTTGTGATTTGACCAACATAGTCAATCAATCTAACAACCATGCTAAGTGTGCACCACTTGGCATACACTCCCAAGAAATCAATTTAACCAAAAGTCTAGTCTTGTGATTGCGACTGAAAAAAGTTACATATGTGTGTGTGTGCGCGCGCGCTCTAAAATGCCTCCTCACGTGTAATCATGACTTCTACGATAAACTCTTTTTTTAAATGTCTATAACGGTGAGTTTTGAACTTATAATCTCCTGGTCATCAAAATTCTGATATCATATCAAGGAATCAACTCAATTACGAAAGATTTTTATATATACAACACTAGATGATTTTCCATATAAAAATGTGAAGAATAAAAATTGGTGAGAGATCTACTAATATTGGGAGAATGAAGCTTAAAACCGATTTCACGCTTTCATCAATGCGTATATGTCGGCGCAGTTGAGACATATCCCCACGGACTTTCCACCCTTTGGACGTTGATCCACAAGCTTGTCTCTACCAAAAAAAATTACTCACGTAACTTTTATGAAAATAACTTTTAGGTTTTTGATTTTTTTAGAACAATAACGAAGTTTTTTAAATCTTTTTTAATGACTGTAAAAGAAGATTTCGTCAAATACTTCATTCATTGACGTTAATAAATGTATTTTTTACTATTTTGTGATTAATGTTTTATGATAATAATTTTTATGTCCCACACTTTAATTTCTTCGTTTCCTTCTTATGTTTCTATTTTTTTCACTTGGTTTCCTTTTTCATAAATATTTTCATAAAAATTTATTCTAGAAAATAATGTCAAAAATTTAAATTTTTCTATGATATAATAAGAAATGAAATATGGATCTTATCAAAAAAAATCTCTTACATTAATGGGGCAATCTGATCTTACAACAATACAATCCTAGAACGATTCAATAAGAGTACATAATGTGTGCCGTTCGTAAAGTTGATGGTTCTAGATGGTAGGAACCATCAATTTTTTAAACGTGGCACTATAGGTACACAAATGAATTGTCGTAGGATTGTTGTATTTTTTGTTGTTGTAAGTTTATCCTTTCTCAAAATTAAATCATTGACAAAGCATGAGAGATTCTTTGACCAAAAAGTCACAAAATCAATAGTTCATCCACCTACCGCCACAAAGAATTTTTTAAATTATTTCAGATTTTAGATTCCAAGTTTTCCACTCCATATCACAATAATCACATTTGTTTTTGTAAAAAAAAAAAATTGGAATGCCCTTGATTTTTTTTGTATCTCCAATATTTTTAGAACCACCGTGGTAATATGGTACGAAGCAGCATTTGTTAGGATATTATTCTATGGTTGGTCAATAGTTCAAAAATCACGGTCATCTGAAATTTAGTGACTAAAGAAATGAAATGGGTTTAAAATTTGAAAGGAAATTGTTTGAAGAAAATAATACTCGGTAATGAAATCAATCGCGATTAAGAAATTAAGAAATCAAACGCTACTCTACCAAAAAATCAAAAGAAAATGAAAACGGATTGATAAAAAATTGTTTAAACGAAAGATTATTTTGAATAGCATTTTTTTTAGAAAAAAAGGAATAAATATGATAAATTTGTGGGAGTGAAATTGTTGCGTACGGCGCAGCCGTATCGATCAATCGTACACCCTCAAAGAAGGGCCATGCATCCGGTATGAATCCGTCGTCAAAAAATGCAACGGGTACACCAAAGGTGTACCCCAAATATCCCTCACCCTCTCCTTGTCCACTAAAAAAGGCAAAAAAATTCAAAAAAAATAAGTAAATAAAAATCAAATAAAAATGTGTGGAGGAAAATAGAGTGGTGTACATTTGGGGTGCACCTTTTGGTGTACCCCTAGCATTACTCATCGGTCGTGGATCGGTGGGGCATTATGGCCCACAAGAGAGGGTTGGCAAAAACTGGGTCCCACAAAGGGTGGGGCCAGTTGTACTATAGACAAAATTAGTTAGGAAGGGGCACATGATAATCGACCTATGGCTTCTTTAACCATTCTCTATTGCATTGATAAATTTTGTGTCCTAAGTTTTTGTTATTTAATTGTATTTATAAGTTAAGTAATCATTGCGTAAATCATGTGGATCTCAGTTGATAAAATCTAAAGTTTAATTATTCTAATTATAGTCTAGTCCCAAATCACAATGTCCTTAACTCAAACTCACCCCTAAAGTTCATGAATTGTGTTTCATTACTGTTAAGATTCACATATAAAATATGAATTTTTCTCACATATTTTATGGGATACAATTTTGAAATCAACATATAAGATATAGATTTTCTCACATTTTTCATAGACCACAGAAATATTCATATACTAAGTTTAAAAAATGAGACAGAGAAATTTGTCTAAGAGTATGAGTTCCTTCTCTTCACCATACTTGATTAATATATATTCTAACCTAATCTGGTCTGATCTGGTTGTAATTATATTTAAAATTGTTTTTGATTTGATCTGATTCGAATAAGAATAAGTAACAAGTAATAATAATAATTTGAAGAAAACAAACTCCATATCCATCTCTATGAATGTTTTTTAGTTTCTTTAATTATACACATCCTTTTTAAATTTTTAAATTCAAAGCACTTTAATACATTTTGTCCACCAATGAGTTGCTTCTAAAAATCCTCTATTTTTACACCTTTTTTTGCAATTCATACATTTTAAAGGAAGCAACATATGCTTCCTCAAACATGGTTTTTGAAAAGACATTTAATGTAATCAGATTTTCCAATAGACAAATCTTGTAAAACAATTGTATTTTTCCAAAGCATACTATGGAGGTATCCTCATTGTTGATGGTTTTATCATGCATTTATACAATTATTTTGAAAAATAAGATTTAATTAAAGATGTGATAAATGTGCCCAAATTAATATTTCATCCATCCTAAAAAAGATGTTCATATTTCGTTTTTTGCACATTCCATTACAATACATCTTTACCGTCTTAAATGTAAAAAAAATTCAAAACAATTTATACCCATAATAAAAAAATGAAATTTGGTAAATTTTAGATACTTTATATGTGGATAGAAGTGTTTTATAATATACACAAAAAATGAAATAAGGATATCTTTTTGGAACGGAAGGAGTCTCTTCTATTTTTCTATTTTAAGCAAGTGTTTTTTATTGTTTGTTAGGAGACTTTGGCCTTCGAAAATAGCTATTGGTTGTTTATGTTGGTGGTACGAATCACTGATTGAATTAGTTGTTTTGACCGGCTGGTTGTATAGCTGGTAAAAAAAATTGTTTGGCAAATTAGATGTTCATAAATACTCTTCCGTCCTATAATGTTATTCCCGGTTATGTTTACGATGTTGGACCGACTTTGATTTCAATTCAATTTATTTGAATGTTGGTGTAAATTTAAAAAATAAATTTATATATTTAAAAACTACATCAAAAGTTGTACAAAATAAGTAGTGACAAGACTATATTATTTTATCAAATACCTAATGAAAATAGGTAAAAAAAAATGATTAAAGTTTAACCGTGTGAAAAGTAAGTGAAAAAACATTTTAAGACGGAGGGAGTAGCTATTTGTGGTAGAAATTTCATTTTTGGACTTGCTCCCACATTTTTATGTAATGTTTTATTTTGATTAGTTTAAATATTACAATTCAATAAAAACACAAAGAGTATATAAACAAGTGAATACTCCGTGTTTCAATTTTTTTTGTACATACAATTTCATGGTTAATTATTTTAAACATTTTCCTATTTTATCGAGAAAATATATTGATGCGTACCGGAGTATGAAAAAAGGGACAGCAAAGAAACAGTTTAATTTTACTCAAAAAAAAGAAAAAAAAAGAGACTCTGCAGTCCGAGGTTTAATTTAGAAGAGAGGGAGTAATTTGTTTTTTTTTTTGAAGGAAAAAAAATCACATTAATTAAAGTGAGAAACAATAAAGTCTGGAGGAACATATTCCCAAACCCCAAGTTGAGCAACCGCTCGACGGGCTAACACATGAGCAACACCATTCAAATCTCGACAAACATGAGAGATACAAATTGAACGGAAAGAAGATAAAAATAGCCTACACTCCTCAATAATCGAACCGAAGTACGAGCGAGAAACGGTGACGTGGTTGATGGCATTCACCACCATCCAGCTATCAGAAAAAAGTTGCACCTCCAAGCATGCCTCTCTCTTTAACCAAGCCAAAGCCTCTCTAACCGCTATTGCTTCTGCTAGAAGGGGATCTTGGGAACACAGAATAGTACCGTTAAATGCTTCCACAAACCTACCACCTGGATCAAGAAGAACAGCACCGAATCCTACCTCTCCGACCTGAGGAAACAAAGCGGCATCAACAAAGCAATGTTGCACCTGCCCTGAACTTTGCTGCCCTAGAATAGAGCAAGACGGCGGAGTCAATTGATGCCCCAAACGGCTGTCCGGCCAACGTTCAGCCAATGACTTAATCAACCGAATAGTTACTGCCGGCAGCGAAACCCTTCCATCCCAAACTGTTGCATTACGAGTCTTCCACAAAGCCCAAACTGCATATGCAATAACTTTAAGCTCTCCCATTGACCTTGAACCAAAAAGCCCTTCAAAAAAATGTATAAAAGAACCCCCGGCTACTCTTGAAACCTGAGCTCCAACCCCTTCCCAAATAGCCAAAGCATAAGAACAAAAAACAAAAATGTGATCAGTAGTTTCCCCCTCTTCCCCACATATTGGGCATAAGTTGTCCAGTTCCATCCCTTTGGAATTGAGAGAAGAGATAGTTGGTGAAATACCCCGAAGAGCCCGCCAAATAACCACTTTTACCTTTGTTTCTACCGGAATACGCCAAAGCTTATTCCAGGCTGAGAAACCAGTAGACTCAGCAACAACCTCCCCTTGAAGCAGACGATAGCCATCTTTAACAGAGTAGTGTCCATGAGGAGACCTTGACCAGAACCACAGATCCTCACGAGAAGGGCATGAAGGCACACGCAGGATCTCCATAACATCTCTAGCATTGAAATAGGAATGTAACAGCGACTCGTTCCAGCCACCAGTAACTGGATCCTTAAGAAAATTCACTGGGAAGTTAGGCATAAACTGCTGGTCGGTCATAATGGTTGGGTTGTCTGAGTCCAAGAGCCAGGGGGACCCCCACACAAGAGTGTTTCTACCATTCCCCACCCTACGACGCACGCCTTGTCGGATCAAAGGTTGTGCCTTGAGAATACTACGCCAACAAAAGCTTGGAGTACCCCCCAAAGTCGCTTCAAGAAAAGAGGTTTTCGGGAAGTACCTTGCTTTGAACACACGAGAAACGAGCGCATCAGGTTGGGTAAGAAGCCTCCACCCTTGCTTCCCCAGCATTGCCACGTTGAAACTATGAAGTTGCTTAAAACCCATGCCTCCAAATTTCTTTGGCACTGATAAACGGTTCCACGACATCCACCTAATACCAGTAGAACTAGAACCCTTGCTTGTCCACCAAAAGGAATTCATCAGCCATTCAATCTTCTCACAAAGCCCCTGTGGTAACAAAAAAATGCTCATGGCATATTGAGGCATAGCTTGTGCCACCGTTTTTAACAAGATCTCTTTGCCTGCCCTGGAAAGTAATTTCTTTCCCCAACCTGAAAATCGTCCCCGAATTTTATCCACCACATAAGCAAAAACGGTATTTTTATCTTTACCCAAAAAGGACGGAAGACCCAGATAGTTACCAAAATTATCCATCTCCAAAACCCCAAAAAAAGAAGAGAGCATCTCCCTGATTTCCAGCTGGGTGTTAAGACTAAAACAGATACTGGATTTACTAAAATTGATAGACTGACCCGAAATTCTTTCGTATTCAGCAAGGCAACGTTTAACTTCCCCCGCCTCTTCTAAAATAGCTCTCAAAAATAGAAGACTGTCATCAGCGAAAAACAGATGGGAAATAGAAGGAGCTCCTCTGGCCACTCGAACTCCATGGATACGCCCATTCCTTTCCGCTTCCTGTAAAAGCAATGACAGGCCCTCCGCACAAAGAATAACAAGATAAGGGCTAAGGGGATCCCCTTGCCTAAGGCCTCGAGAAGGAATAATATAGTCAGAAAGTTCACCATTAATAAGAATTCGGTAACGCACCGTGGTGACGCAGAGCATAATAAGTCGAATCCATCCTTCGGCAAAGCCCAGACTCTCCATCATCCGTCGGAGGAAATTCCGGGAGTAATTTGTTTTTTTGGGTAAAACCTAAAAAAAACACTCATAATTTAATAATTGTCTTTTTATGAATAAAAAAAATACTATTATTGTTAACTCCCTCACCATTATTTTCAGAATTTTCATTCACAGAATTTCTTGAACCACCACGAGACTCCTTCCTCCCCACCTTCCCTTCTTCCGTCCTTAGATCTCTCTCCAGAAACAAGAAAAAAAGGGTCTAATCTTCAAACCTTCAAAGCAGAGAAGTCACTTCTGAGAATCACTATAGATTTCTTCCTTCTCTTGAACACGTAATCTTTCCCTCTCTCTCTCTCTCTGCTTCTCTTGTTCATGTTTTTCTAGCAGTGGAATCTGAGATGGGTTTTCGTTTTCTTGAGATATCGTCTGCATCTTTTGTGATTTTGTTGCATTTAAATTGATGGGTTGAGCTTTATTACTGGAAAATGCAGAAAAAAGCTGTTAATTGAAGGCCGTGGGTCAGCAATGGCGGGTGATATTGAGGAGCCTTTTAGGCTTAATTTTCATGTAAGAGTGTATTATTAATTCCTTTTTTGTTTTCTATTAATCTTTTCATCTTTTCTGTTCTTCTAGTGACTGATTTCTGCCTGCAAGTTTGTCTATTTTGTGGATCTTAAGTTTTCTTGTTCTATTGACTGATCTGTACTCTGGTAATTGAGTTCTTCCTTAACTCACTTTTCTCCCTTTTTTTCCTTTTCAAGATTGTGTTTGACTATGATTTTTTGTGGGGACTCAATAATTGTTCACTTATTTGGTATTCATTGATCTATTCATATAAGCATATATCTTCTCTTTTTTTGGAAAATGTTATATGCAAATTTTAGTGCAGAAATTTGAGATTTACGAATACTAAGATTACATAATTATCACTGGCCAGAAATTCAGAAATTCCACATTTTTATGATAATACCCCTAGGGAATTTTTAGTTTGTTTGGATTCCCAATTTGTGAAGGTATTTTTTTCATCAATATGCAATCTTGGAGTATTTTCGATAAAAATTTTGAATTTTTTGGAGCTTTAGTGATGATTATTCTATCCTGGAGCATTCTTGTACAACAAATTTATGAGAGGATTGACATGAATTTTTCCTTTATAAGAAAAAAGTTTATTTGGTAATTTGTAATTAAAAAAACGCAGTGGATATCTCTTCATTGATTCATGTAATTGCGTGGTTTTGTAATTGCGAAAGGAAAAAAAATCTCCCCTTTCTCAAGTTTCTTGACTTGTTCAAGTTTTAGCAAACCAAAATGATAACATGTAAGGTTGAATCTTACAGTCAGATTGTCTTCCACTTCGGTCTGGTTCGATCTCATTTGGACGGTTTGAGAACGAAGATTTGTGTTGGGAGAGAAGGTCCTCTTTTTCCCATAACAGGTACATTGAAGAGGCTGAGAAATTCTCAAAGCCGGGGTCCGTTACCGAGAAGAAGGCGATACTCGAGGCCCATTTCAAGCGGCGGGCAGGACTTTTTAGCCAGAGCTCTTCGGAGACTCATAGTGGGGAGATCGAGTTCCAGACTAGTGGAAATGCCAATGAAGCAGGACGTTTTGGAGCGAACGATAGTGGAGGGTATGATGGGGATTTTGAACATTTCAATGTGGAGTGTAGCTATTCCCCACATAGTCACGAAGAAAACCCTGAATCGGCGGGACCTGGAAATGAAGATCGTGGTTTTTATTACGATGGTGATGATTATTATGAAAGAAATCGTTGTAGACCGGATGTTGATGACCATGACGATAATCTTGCCATTGTTCGTGACCATTTTCATGAAGAAGAAGAGGATTGTTGTCAAGTCAATGGAACAGTATCAGTCAACATCGATGAATCTCGGGGTGAAAACGCGACAAAAAATACAGTTGTTCCTACACAACAAACTTCTTCTCCAAAGGTGTGTTGCACGGTTTCGTTCTTAATTATTGTTGCTTTTAAAAATATTTTACTGAGTGATTCAATTGAGTAGAACTTCTAGTTGTTTTAGTGATTCAATCGAATTCTTTCGTATAATATATCGTTGTTTTATGCTCATCTTATGTGTGAATGAATATAGGCAAAATCTAGAGCCTCTAAAACTGCTAATAAGGTAAGTACAACCACTCCAATAGTAGGCATCGCGGACATTCCTCGGAAGCCTAGGGGGAAGTGTGACAATTTAGTGAGGCAGAAACCGGTTCCGGAAGCTTCGACGACATCAAAATTTGAGGTTCTTTTTTTACACTTTTGTACCCATTTGTGTATAACATTATAAACAAATAGAGTTCCACTAACAATTTATGTTGTTTGATTGAAGACATTTTCTATTCAATTTATTTAAAAATTGATGTAGAATTGAATAAAAAAGAATTTATATGTTAAAATATTATGCCAAAAGTTATGAAAATATGCATGGAAAGAAACCCTGTGAATAGTAAATTGGAACCTTATTTTCGGGTGAAGGTTATAAATCAAAGAATTATTGATTTTGATTTTGGTTTTGGTTTTTGTGTTCAGGTTCCATCTAGTTCAAAATGTAAAATGCATTGCGAAAGTAAAAGGTAAAATCACTACAAAGTACTATATTTTAAACATCTTTTTTAAGTACATTTTGAATATCTATGTTAAGTTACCTGCTAAATTTGGGTCTCATGGATGAATATATCTTTTCAATTTGTAGCACTGAAAGGGAAAGGAGGATAAAGGAAAAGGCTGCCCACAAAGGGTATCAAAGTCCAAGCAGGTCCAAGTGTGGTGAAAATAGTAAAACTTCGCCGAGCACGAAGCGAAGTTCTTTTTCTTTTAGTTTCAAGAGTGAGGAACGCGCGGAGAAGAGGAAGGAGGCAAGTTCCTCCCTATTATGTTACACGGATTCTTTAAACGAGTTCCTCCCTAAGGACTCGTTTGGTTTGGGGTTTTGCATGGGAGATAAATTCATAAATTTATCATTTGCATTTGTTTTTGTTTTACAAATTTATCATTTGCATTTTTCTTTCCACCCATCTAAACATAAGAATAAATCAATAAAATGAGTATCATTCCCTCCCGTTCCCTCTCACCCGAAATCGCCCAATTAAACAAGGCCTCGGAGTCTTCGTAACGATCTTAACAAGGAAGTTTGATTTTGACGTTCGTCTCAGTTCTCAATAAAGCTAGAGGAGAAAATGCACGCGAAGGAAGCTGAAATGCATCAGCTCCAAGCAAGAAAGCAGGTAATACCACGACCCACGAGCTCTACAAATCCAAATATCTCTTCCAATGTGTTTAGGGTGTGTTTGGTTCTTCCAGTTTCACTCTTTTTCCTTAATATCTTTAAAATCTTTCCTTCCCTTCCAACCAAACACACCCCCTTAGCTATGTGTGTGATGTGTAGATGATAACAAATTGGTCTACGCGTTTCATTCGTGCAGGAAAAATCAGAAGCTGAGATAAGAAGGCTGAGAAGAAGCCTAAATTTCAAAGCAACTCCCCTGCCTTCTTTTTACCTAGAAGATGGACAACAATCAAATATGAATAAGGTGGAGTATTTTTTTATGCCAAAAGTATCATTATTTTTTTCCCGTATAATCGTACTTTTGATTCCAAGGAAAATCCTTATGCTATGTTTGGTTCGAGGAATTAGGAAGGAATGAAAGATGTTAAGGAGAAGAAAAGAAAGGCAAACAAATCCAAAATCCTAGTTTTGTTTGCTTACCAAAGAAATTGGTAAGGAAAACACTTTTCTATGATTCCTTTTGTTGAGGGAGAGAGATTGAAGGGAGAGACGGGAGAGGAGAGATAGAAATTGAGCAATAAGAGATTAAATGGAAAATTCGAGCGACGATGAAATGAGCGGGATTGCAAGAAGTTGCGACTATGTCTCATTTTCCTCACCAAATTGGAAGAAAAATTGCTTTTCCCCCTTTTCACTTTCCCCCCTTTTCAGTTCACTTTTTTCTCACTTTTCTTTTTTTACACTAACTAAACAATATTCCTTCTGTCCAGAAATGTTCTTCTCATTTGACTTTTCTTGGTAAAAGTTTGTAAACTGTGACCTCGATGTGTGAAAGAAATACATTGTATTATGATATAAATATAATATCAATAGATTCATATTGAAACGTAGTTTTGAAATATCAAATTTTTATAAAATATATTTATGTATAAATATAGATATTAATGGTCACATTACAATATTGGAGAACGAAAAAAGTCAAATGAGAAGAATATTTCCGGAAAGAGGGAGTAATTGTTTTTCATAACATTTTCTTTTCATTTCTCTACCAAATTTTGTGTACCGAATTTCTTGAACCAAACAAAGTGTTAGTTTTCTCACTTGGTTTCCATTGCAGAAGAACTTGGGGAATAAACCAAAACCGGCTAAGCCTCCTCCTCCAAGCAAGCATTCGTACCCAAACACGTCTTCTTCCTCTTCTTCGGGAGTGACAATTGCCAACATTTCACCACCAACCGAAAGCGTGTCCTCTCCACAAGTCTGCAAAGGTAATAATAGCAACAAGAAAATCTCTAATGCCAAACTTGGGAGAAAGGGTACCGAGCGAAGGACGGTCCACATGGGGAGTAACCCGAGAATGGATCGACTCGCAGTCGGCATCGTTGCCTCGTAACTCAATGTGGGCCATGTTTGCACCCCCTTTTTTCTTGACAAGAAGGAAATGTCATGAAATTGCTTCTTACATTTTGTGCACATATATGTAATTAAATGTAGTTTGGTAGGCTGTATTTTGAACATTGGTTTTGTAATATTGTGGAAGTATGAAGAGTAATGATGCTATATGTGACTGTTACAAGAAACCCAAAAGCTATAAGAAATAAACAGTCCTTTCACTGAATTAGTGTTGGCATGCTGTGCTAACATCATACTCTTGCTTGTTATTATGAGTGCTTGATACCCACATTGAGTGTCATACTATAACACTGGACCATTTGAAGTCTGTTGGCCATGCGTGCACCAATTGTTTTATAGCAAAAGTTATGTTAGTCAAGTCAGGCTAAAGTATGCGTTTTTTCTAACACCAGTTGATTTTAAAATAATAGCTGGTAATGTATTGTTTTAGGTCCTAAAAAGTCTTATGTTGCAGTGACATTGTAGCATTTCAATGTCCATAAGGGTTAGTTTTTCGTTGAATGTGAAATTTTTATGGGACTAATTATTTTGTCATCAAAATAATGGAATTTGTAATGAATTTGCATTACGAATTAATTTATTTGCAAAGTTTGTCACGAACATCTTCAACTACCAATTTTTGTAGAAGCCATGAAGCTGCTAATTTGAAGCTATTTGCAAATATGCTCATGTTTATTTACATAAAAAAGTAAAACAAATAAATAAAATAATAAATAAATGCAACAACTTAATTATTGGGAATAAGAATAATTATGGGTGGGTTCGGTTTTTGCGGTTCTGTTTTTACCCAAAACCAAAGACAAAACGGAAGGTAAGTTGGCGGTTCGTTCGGTTCGGTTTTGCATACAAAATATGTAAACTGTTGGTTATTCGGTTCAGTTTTATGCGGTTTTTATTTTGGTTTTTTTTCGGTTTTTTCGGTTTATAAAAGTAAATATTTATAAGCATTAAAAATTGTATAAATACTAACTCGACGAAACAATAACAATACGTAAGTTTGGGTTTGGTTTTTTTACTTGATTTTTACACACACAAAAAGCCGAGCGGGAGGTTAGTGTTCTCATTGGTTCAATTTTATATACAAAATATGTGTCAAGTGTCTAACAAACATCTAGAAAATTCTAAATAATCTTAAAGATATTGTATGTAAAATCAATTGTAGAGAATTTGGATTTTTTTAATATAATACTTTCATTTTCATTATACATCAAAGTTTCTTTTATTTAAATATGTTAACTACTCATTTTAATTTTTAATGTTATATAATTCTATATTAGGATTAGTTATTGGTGTTTATATTCTTAGATTTTTTAAATTTTATAATATGGTTAAAATGTTTAATTAATAGTTAAAAAAAATTAATTGACTAGTAATTTATTTGCATTTTTGTGTATATGATTTTTATACATATCACATATACTCGTATAAATAAAATGAAGCATATAAATAAGTTTGGTTTATTCGGTTCGGTTACCAAAACCGAACCAAACAATAACGGTTCGATTCGGTTTTTTTACATTCGGTTTCGATTTTTTTGGTTCGGTTTTTTTTTCTAGCTCGTTTCGATCGATTTCGGTTCGATTTTCGGTTTTCCCTACCCAGCCCTAAGAATAATGGGACGAGTCTCTAATGAGATGTTTGCAAGTGTTATGTTGACACAACCACAATATTTAATTTGTAAGGTTTCTTTGACATTAGAAACCGATGTCATTAGGCATTGACAGTCAGACACCTATAATATTCTGTTCATATTTTTATATATGTTGAGCTTAACTTTTATTAGCAGTATTTTATTGCTAGTAGTATTTTACTCAATTTGTTTCACAATATATACATCCACTTTTTTTGTCATTTTATATTTCAAGATATATTTAAATTGCCAACTGAGTTAAAAAACAATCTTTATTTTTAATATTTAAATTTCAAGTAAATAATAATCCAAGTAAAAGTTACACATCAAACCATTTAAACGTAAGAAACGAGGAGTTGAGGTAAACTCAAGAAAAGTTTAAGATATGTGATCACACTAGACTTATAACTTCATGATTATAATGTGAATATAATCTTAGATTGAAACATGTTTGAACAAAACATGTTGTAACTTCATGACTACTCCGAATAAATAATCTTAGAAACACTTTAAAGATATCGAATGAAATGTTTGAACAAAAAAAAAATTGCTTTTCAAGTATTATCACGTATTCATTTAACTTTCAACGCCTTTTTTTTATCTTAACTTGCGGATAAATGAATTTTAAAAAATGAAATTTGCACTAAATAGTACTAAAACATATGTCTATTTTCAATGTAATACTGACACTTTTTATTTCCTAAATAGTACTTGAATAGTGCCCAGTGGCGGGGACAATGTCCGATAATGGTGAACATTTAGTTTAAACAATGTCCAGTGACAGTGGACATTTACTTGAACAATGACCAGTACACACTGAGCAGCAATACTACATTGGTAAATAAAAACATATGGTACTGCCCTAATGTTTTAGTACGAAGTACTCTCTCCGTCCTGAAATGTTCTTCCCACTTACTATTCACACGGTTAAACTTTAATCACTTTCTTTACCTATTTTCATTAGGTATTTGATAAAATAATATAGTTTTGTCACCATTTGTTTTGTAGAACTTTTGATGTAGTTTTTAAATATATAAATTTTATTTTTTAATTTTACACCTACAATCAAATAAATTGAATTAAAAATAAAGTTGGTCAAACTTCGTAAACAGAACCGGGAAGAACATTATAGGACGGAGGGAGTACTATTTAGGTAAATTGCCATTTTAAAAATGATTTTGCAGAACAAAGATTGTGACATTTTACTACCAAACAATCAAAGTGGGGAAATAAGTGGGGAGCATACAAATGGGAGCACATGAATCTTTTGTTTGAATATGCACCATGGCACCAAAGCAAAACAAAGAGAGACAGATAACTTAAACCTGAAACTGCGTATGGCTGGACTAAGGAAAAATGGGACATGTTTCGAGTGTTTAAGGATATGTTCCTTCGAGGATTTTTTTCTTCATTTACTGCTTTTGAATACATTCGAGGGGTTACACGAATCACGTAATCGAATAGAAGTTACCACTTAACTTTATTTCCTTCCCCGGTTAAGCCTTTGGAGATGAAAATTGATGCTTCCCCAAGTCTTTCTGTTACTGCCAGTCTGCGCGATAAAAGAGAGACAAAGAAAAAATGGTCAGAACCCATCTCTTAAGGCTAAAAATGACCAAAGTTATTAGTGTTATTTATAAGACAAACTAAAGTCTACACGACGGGCTCAAGCTAGTATTCATTGCCGATTCACACTGCTAAGAATTTTGAATGGATAATAATCTAAGACCATAAGTTCAAACAATCCAATTCATTACCTGAGCCTCCATGCAGGCACTTAAAAGAGATTTTTGCCGGCTGCATTTATCATCTTTGTTTTGATGCAGAGCCAAACAGCTGAGAAATGTAATCATGTCCTTAGCGCACGGTTTTTGAAGGCTCCCAAACTTCTTTGGGTCTATATACAATGTCCCTGGTTTTCGGCCCATTCCTCCCAACTTCCAGCTGAAAATTAGGTTTCCACGAACCTCTTGTAACTTGGGGTCGGCTGAATACAACACAAGTTAATCTATTTAAAAAGAAAAGAGTATTTTCTCGATAGAGAATACTATTACCATTCACATTTTCAACACTACACTAACACTATGTTTGGTTCGGGGAATTATGATGGGAAAAATGCTGAGAAAAGGAAAAGAAAGGCAACGAAACTAAAAATAATAAGAATGGTCTGGTTAGTAGGGAAATTGGCAAGGAAAATAGTTTTCAATTACTCTTTTGTTTGGTTGTTGCAAAGAAAACAATGGAAGACATGGTTGAGAGAAAGGAGGGCAGCGGGGAACAATAGAATGATCCAAACAGAGTGCAAATAATAAAGTGAAAAATATTCAACCCATTCATGAACTTCAATACGGTTTTGCTAATCATTTCCCTCGGGGCATTGGTTAAGCATTCCAGATATTAAAATATATCATCAAAAGAACACATTAAACAAGCACATTAAATGCATTTCATCATATTCGTATGATGAAAATTTTCCATATTTTGAAAGCTTGACCGATGCCCTAAGGGCAATGGTTAGCATAACCAATTTTTATAATAAAGAAAGCAACCATTACACCAAAACAAATCAACCTCCATAGCTTTCAACACAATACCTACTTTGTATGCAAAACAAACATAATAACGTAAATAAGCAAATAAAGTCACGCAAATCATGTGAGCAACTACATGTTCTCGATTGAACTCAAAAAAAATCAAAACATATATGTGATCCCTATAATAATGCAGTTCCATTGCCAATTTTCCTCCCAAAATTGATTGAAGAAATAGTAACTCAAATAAGGGTAGGCTCCCCAGTCTCCAGTAAAGAACACTAATGCAGTCAAATGTTTATAATTTTCACTTTCCAATACAATGTGGAGCAGCTATGCAGAGATTTATTAACTCAGAATTCTAAACATTGCAATAACAAATTAACTATAGCTATTTTGCAGTTCAAACTTCCAAATACCAAAAATTTAAGCTTCTGAATTAAATCCCCACCGAAAGAATGGACGAGTGCAATCAGCCAATGCTCTCACTCTAAAATCAAACTTAGAATTTATCTAAAAATGACCCATTTCCTAAGTTTTTTTTTTGTAATGCTTACAAAAAATGCAGGTTCAAATATCTTAGATATGATCAAAAATAAAGAATACGGCCTAATCAGTCTGTTGTAAATAAAGATATACAAAACCGCAAAGTTGAAGAAAAAGAATAAAACAAATCTGAAACGCGAAAATAAGATCTGCAGCGCGGAGTTTCATGGCGCGGCTTTACTGTTACGATTTAGAATTTCAGAGCACGGAGCTTCAAAAAAACATTCATAATTGAAGAAAGCATCTGAAATGGCGATTTCAGTTCTGGCGAATTGAAACAAGACTTGATTTTTTGGTAGAAGAGCAGTTGATAGGGATGGGATTTGAAGAAGATGGGGTTAACGATCGAGAGATGGAGCTTTGAAATGAAAGTACCTGAATCTGATATGGAAGAACTTCGAATTGGAAGCCAAGAACAGCTTTTCTGGGTAACGCTTGAGAGGAAGGGTGGAAATCGAGGCAGTGAAGAGAGACAATGAACGCTATAGAGTTAAGTGGGCCGGAGCCCAGATGTTATTTTTTAAGTTGGGTTTATCCCGATGATCATCATTCTTATGAACAACATAAAATTTGGTTGTCAAAGTTTAAGGGCATGTTTGAAAATATCATTAGAAATTTGCATCAGCGTTTTAGATAAAAATTTACGCCTCGTTTGGTACATGGAATTGGAATTGAAGACTTCAATTCCAATTCTGGTGTTTGGTAACACAAAAATTATGTGGATTTGGAATTGATAGTGCAAAAAATGAATTGGAATTGACAGAATTCAATTCTATGGAATTGAATCCATGGAATTTCAATTCCAATTCAATTCCAATTCCGTCAATTTCGTATACCAAACGGACCCTTAACGGTGTAGATTATTTGAAAAATGTTAACGTTAAATACTCCTCATAGATATCTTTTTCAAAATATTTACGCTAATCTCTCACGCTATTCCCAAGCAAACCACTGAATAAGTGTGCTAGGTGTGCATTCGCATAAACTCCTAGTTACGGAGTATTTTAGATGATCATCATTTTTACTACTTGCCATTTTAATATTTGATTTTTTTGAATAGGTAAATATTTAGTAGTCAAAGTTTTAAATGAGTGATGATGAAAAACCAAATTCAACAATAATTTTAAAGTATAGGGAAAAAACTAAAATAGAAGTAAAACATTGAAAATATGTCAAAATAAGAATTTCATATTTTTATTCTCGAAATATGAGTTAAAATGAATTTACATTACCAATCTTGATCATATTTATTACCAAAAAGTATAGTCAAATGCTCATGTACAGTGTCACTATTACCACAGTGCAAATTCCTATTTAAGGAATAAAAACCTGGAACTCATATTTTGACATTTTCTCTATGTTTTACTCTTATTAAGGTGATTTCTATAAAATATAAGTATTAAACACAAAACAAAATATATGGGTCAAGGTGTGTGTGTGTGTGTGTGACTGTGTGTGTATTGCTTTAGGAAGTAATTATAAAAGTGAAATTGATTTCTTGAAATTTAATTTTATTCATATGAAAAGAGACATGTAATCAATAAACAATCTATATTCCTTAAAAAATGTGACATTTTTTTTTAAAGCGGACAATTAGGACACAAGCTTACCATTTGTGCATTTTTTCAAGTGAATCAATTGATTTGAAGTAATTAAATAATAAAATTTTAAATACACAAATTGCAAGTCTGTGTAGTTTGAGTCCTAATTATATTGTCTGTGACTCTAGCATTACTCGAATATATTCACAAAGATTTCTCAAAAAAAACACAAAGATTTCACAAAGATTGACAAAGATTTCACAAAGTTTAATTACTCGATTATTTTCACAAAGATTTCTCAAAAAAATTACGCAACGGATTAATTATATATATACCATAAAAACCATTCTGAAAAAAACTGTGCACTAATTAAAGTCCTAAAGACATGGCATCATCACTAATTGCTTGGCTGGTCTAAATAAAAACACAAATTACAACCCTCACTTTAAATAATTCTCTACGTACTCTCTATGCATGGCATGCATGCATGAGATTTATTACATCTTTCGTTCACGTTTAATTATTTATTTACACCCATCTCTAAAAAATAAAAAGTAAAAAAATTAAAGTAAAAACAAACTAAAGAAGGCAAAAATTGAGAGTGATGGCACTTTCTTCTGATAAATTGGTTGCATCTGTGTTCCTCTTTCTTGTGCTGCTTTCTGCTCCTGGTAATTACTTTTTTATTATTCATATATATATATATACCCCTTCGATCCGATCTTATATAAATTTCTTATATAAATTGCACTGCTTGAATTGAATTTTTACATTAAATTTTACAACCTTTGACTATAAATCATGAAAAACTATTTTATATATTTTATTGTAAAAATGTAAATTTAATATGATCGAATTCATTTTAATTAGATGTAGTTTTCATATATATATATATATATATATATATATATATATTCATTTTAAATCATTTATTTAAATTATACTGAATATTTATTAATGATCAAAGTGTACGCATAACACTTTGGTAAAAAAAAGTCAAAAACACAATTTATTTAGGAAGGAAGGAGGTATGTAAAAACATTTTACCGTGTATGTAATCCGTGCAATTAATTTTTATTTATTTATATTAGATATACTACGTATTATAGTATATTTTTTGTCCATAATTTCTATTCTGCGTGTATTTTAGTTTTACAATCTTCGATGCAAAATCTTGATTTGACCATTTGTTATTTTTTATTATTATGCATAGATATATATTTCATGTAATAAGATAATTAAGCTGCATAGATTAACTCTCACGATCTGGAACGCAACATTTTAACCCTTAATATTATGATTAATATTCAAACACACACAGACACATATACAATATATTTTAAAGCTATATTTTAAAATTAATATAGTGATTCTAAAGTAAATATACACTCCGTAAAATTGACGGTTCTCACCCGCCCTAATCCACCCTCACCCTACCCCTACCTCAACCCATCGTAAGCCCCCCACAAAATGTGTGGCTATATTATGCATTGCATAATAGCCACACATTTTGTGGGGGCTTACGGGCGGGGTTGGGGTTGGTGTGCAGGGGCATGGGTAGAGTGGGGGCCTTATGGGGTGGGTTAGGGGGGGTAAGAACCGTCAATTTTACAAACGGTGCAACGGAAGTGCCCCAAAATGACAGTGGCACCACTAGTGTCACCAAAAATGGGTGTCACTAGAAACCCACCGTTATTATTATTATTACTCTGTATTATTATAAACTATGAGCAATATCTTTTGACATTAAACATTCAATGTTAAAATGTCTCGGGGCACCTACAATGTTTCATTAGTAAAATAATATTGACACTTCCTATCTCCTCTCTAAAACCCTCTGCACCCACCCACAATACCCCCACCACCCTCCCATACCCCATTGACAATGATTTGGCAGGACAATCATGAGTAGAAACTATTAATTATTCAAACGAAACATCGTATGTGGTCCGGGACATTTCAATATTGAAATATTCAATGACAAAAGAACTAATTAAAGTTTGTTTATTATTGTAAATATAAAAAATGAAATGCAGAGATGGGTGGAATAAAGATGGGAGAAGGGAAGAAATGCTTCGGCAAGTTTGGAGGATGTTGGGCGGAGGCTGCTTGTGCTGCCGCCTGCCAAACCCAGGGATACGCCGCCGGAAAATGCTCCACCGTCCTCCGCCATTGCTGCTGCCACTGATCCGGCCACTTATCAACACCTACCTACCATGCATGCGTCAAAGCCACCTCTCTTCCCAATTTTAATTTATTCATCAGTTCTTAATTAAATGTAGACATTCCATCCAATTGGCATAAATAAGTAATTCTGTTTTGTTTTTAATATACGGACTATAATTTAAATTCATATACACATTAGGAATGTTATTTTTCCCAATCATTTCGTTTTCTTTCTTTTAAACATTAGTCTTACTTAAAAAATGAAATAATAGATACTCCTAAAAAATAAGAAAAATAACTAAAATCATACTCCATCCATTTCACAAAACCCTTCCGGTTTTGACTTTAGGAAAAAATAAGGAAAATGTAATTTTGGTTGATTTTCCATTTTTGCCCCTGATGTGATGGGAAAAAGTAAAATGGGATAGTTTGGTTATTAGTGAAAAAGTATTATGTGATAGGTAAGGTATGAAAAAGTAGGGGTAAAAGTGGTTTTTTAATAGAAAGTGAAAGTGTTTTGTGGAAAGCAAAAAACGAAAGAGGAATGGTTTTGTGAAACGGAGGGAGTGCAAAATTAATGAAATAAATGAGTTAATCAACAGAAATTAAATGTCCAAAAATTATGTTAAGGCCTCCAAAAAATTGACACCACTTGCAAATTGGGAAAAAAACTAATGTAAGAGTAAACATTGATAATATATCAAAATATGAAATTTATGTTTTTATTCTCAAAATGAAGGTTAAAATGTAGAGAAATTTATCTAAATAGGACTAAAACATAATGACTTTCCCAATATAGGACTATATGTTTTTATTTCCCAATGTAGGATCTTTGGTCATTACGAGTTAGTCATTATTCAACTAAATGTCCAGCATCATTTGGACATTATTCTTCTCACTGGTCATTATTTAGTACTATTTAGGGAATAAAAAAGATTAAGTCCTACATTAGGAAATGACTTATGTTTTAGTCCTATTTAGTGCAAATTTCACTAAAATATATTTCAGTGTCAAACACTCAAACATTCATGACCATATATAGATTATCAAAAAGTATAGTGAAATGTCAATGTACAGTGTGACATTAATATAATACTCCCTCCGTCCTAAAACTTTCTTCCTAGAGCACTATTCTAATTTCACGGGAATTTATATTTATTTGTGTTTTTTCATGGCCTATATGATAAAATAAAATATTCTTATCACCACTTGTTTTGTTGAACTTTTGATGTAGTTTTTAAACATGTATGTTTTATTTTTTATTTCTATACCAATATGTTGACGACAGTAGAAGGAAGCCGGATCAAAGAAGTAAACTGAATCCCTTTGGGATTCGGTTTAGTATCTTTCCTAGTTTGCTTAGTTCTTGTTATAGTAAGAATAGAAATATGGTAGGAATAAAAGTTTATTTATATGCTTTATTCTCTTCCTATATAAAGAGGGTTAGACCTTTGTATTCACAAGAACAATTCAATATACAAACTATTTTCTCTCTTATTAATTTCTACATGGTATCGGAGCAAGTTTTGAATTCTTGAGACCTCAAACACGCTTCTTCCCCTGCCGGTGGGCATACACAATTCAATGCCTACCGGCGGGATATTGTAATTTTTGATTTTGTTTGATTGTTCTCTCTCACTAAAGAATATCATGAACTTCTTTGACGAAAAACATTGCTGTCGAGGAATCCCGCCCAACCATCAATCTTGAAGAAGTTGTCCGAGAAGGGTTGTTCTATAGAGACAGACAACTCTTTCCTTAGTAGGCAATAAAAAAAGTCAGCGTTCAGGGTGTTCGAAAAGAATGGCGTTCCCCCTGTTTGTTCGAATACGGTGAAGGTTCGAAAAGAATGGCGTTCCTTTACTCGACTGATTATTCGGCGGATTCGAAAAGCTTGGCGTCTCCGTTGAAGAAAAAAAACTGAAGTGTCTAGATGACACTTGGACAACGATGGCAGCGACTTCCTCGAGCTTTGTTGCTTTGTTCAATCTCTTGATGTCCAAGCTGGGCATGTTGAACTCCCATGCTCCAGCTTGAGGGGGGGTGTTGACGACAGAAGAAGGAAGCCGGATCAAAGAAGTAAACTGAATCCCTTTGGGATTCGGTTTAGTATCTTTCCTAGTTTGCTTCTTTCCTAGTTTGCTTAGTTCTTGTTATAGTAGGAATAGAAATATGGTAGGAATAAAAGTTTATTTATATGCTTTACTCTCTTCCTATATAAAGAGGGTTAGACCTTTGTATTCACAAGAACAATTCAATATACAAACTATTTTCTCTCTTATTAATTTCTACACAATATTTAAATAAAATAGGTTGAAAAAACTTGGGATTTTTTCTTCGTTTTGCGCAACGGGAAGAAAGTTTTAGGACGGAGGGAGTATATATAAACTTCTATATAGAGAATAAAAGCATAGACCTTCCATTTTAGTACTTTCTTTATGTTTTACTTATATTTAGAGTTGATGGTGTAAATTATCGACCGGTGTATCGTTTTTAGCCAGACAAAAATGATAAACTAGTCTAAAAAATACACCAAAATATAAACACGAGAGTTTTGACGTGGAAACCCAAATCGGAAAAAAACCACGGGCCTTTTTTGGCAGTATCTTGCTAACAGGGGATTTTTATTAGTATCGGGGGTGTGTACATGGTACATGAATTAGGCTAGAAAGCCATTAATGTAGCTTTTGTGCTCTTTGAAGAAGTAAACTACAAAAATATTTTCGAGAGAGAGTAAATGGGCACGGAAGGAGAATGAAATTGGCTCCCTCAACATTAAGGGCAACCCTACCTTTTATAGGAGAGAGTGGAAGCATCTTCGAAGGAATATTCTCTTATTCTTCCATTTTATTAAACATGCCCGGTTTGATTGTTCTTCGTAAATAATTGGAAAATGTGGGACGAGCCACGTATTATTTCCCATCAAGAGTGATTTCTTTTTCAATTTCTCACATACACATACATCTTCCGTTCTAAAATATCTTTCCCGGTTTGACTTGGTACGAAAACGAGGTATAATTGCACATTCATTACATATTAAAAAACTATATCAAAAGATCTACAAAACTAGAGGTGACATGATTATATTATTTTATCAAATGAATGACGAAAAAAGTCCAACAAAGTGAATAAAGTTTAACCTTGTGAATAGTGAACGTAAAGTTTATTTGTGGACGGAGGAAATATAATACAGAGAGTAATTGACAAATTTGGGGTGCACATAGTGCCAATTTTTTGGTGTCTCACAAAAATTTTTCTTACTCAAAATGGTTTGGTCACATCCTATTCCACGGATCACTAGCAAAAATGAAACCAACTCCAACATCGCTTCTTCTCTGCTGCGTCTTCTTTCTCGCGGGATCCGCCGCCGCCGGGCGGCGACCCCACGTCATCAACTTCCGATCAGAGAACCTGTTCCCGGAATCCTTCACGTGGGACCCGCAGTCCCAGCACTTCATCGCCGGCTCTATTCGCCATCCGGTGCTCGTCTCGGTCTCGGACGCAGGTGTCTCCGAGACCCTAATCTCCGACGCGTCTCTTCCCCCAAATTCTTCGATCCGCGGCATCGCCTTGGACCGCGTCCACCGCCGGATCTTCGCCGTCGTCCACCTCCCTCCGTCCCCCGGATCTACGGAACCCTTCAACGCTCTCGCCGCCTACGACCTCGTCTCTCTCCGACGCCTCTTCCTGGCGCCTCTCCTCGACGAAGACGGAACCAATCCCATCTCCGCCGTCGCGAGCGCCGTCGCAACAGATTTCACCGGCAACGCGTACGTCACCGACTCCGGGAGAGATCTCATCTGGAAAGTCAGCCTCGACGGCGGAGCTTCCGTGCTCTCCAGATCCAAGTCGTTCGGGTCGGATCGGGTCGACACCCTCAAACCCGGCCTAAACGGAGTCGTTTACAGCTCCAAAGGATACCTCCTGGTGGTCCAATCAAACACCGGGAAGCTCTTCAAAGTCGACGCCGACACCGGCGGCGCAAGGGCCGTTCTCCTCAGCACAGAATTAACGGAGCCCGGCGGAATCGCCGTCAGACGCGACGGGGTGGCGGTGGTGGTCAGCCGCCAAAAGCTGTACTTCCTAAAGAGCCACGATGGCTGGATGGAGGCAGCGGTATTTGACGAAACTGCCCTCGAAGAAGAGAGCTTCGCCTCCGCGGTGACGGTGGGGGATGAGGACAGGGTATATGTGTTATATGGGCATGTCGACGAGGGCATGATGGTAAATGCGGAAAGGGATGATTTCGTGATAACGGAGGTAGAATCAGAGACGGAACGGCGTGGGGATAACGTTTGGATATTTGTTGTGATTGGTTTGGGTTTTGCATATTTTATGTTTTGGAGATTCCAAATGCGGCATCTTGTGGAAAGTTTGAACAAGAAAAAAGTTTGATGGAATTCGAGGGAAAATGAGAATACATTTTCATGTCTTTGTGGGACTCAACTTAAAAAAATGTAGGGATAAGATATTAGAGGAATTTACCTAAATAGCACTTAAATATAATGATTTTTCCTAAATAGTACTACATATGTTTTTCTTCCCAATGTAGCACTTTTAGTCATTATGTATTAGTCATAATGACTATTTAGTGCAAATATTTCAAGATATTATTCTCTCCAAATGTTTGGTACATTCATTTTAAAGTCCCACATATCCGTGTAATAGAATTTCGCCAATAGATTACATCAGTCATTAACATCGTATTGAGAAACACTTCTTCAAATTGTTATAACTTCAAAAACTAAATGTTTGATTGGGAATAATATTTTCGATTAGTGTTAGCATTTTTTGATATAATATTAATGATGCAGATTAACTTTGACAATAATAACGCTAAATGCTACTTGTTGATGACCTTTTTCAAAACATAATGTTTTTATCTTGAACTAACCCTGTTCGAACTATTTCTCGATTATACACTTTCACCAAGGTATCTATAAAGATATGTTAACAACAATAGTTTTAGAGTCAATCTCACGAAATGTAGATCATAGCGTGTACATTTGATTGCTTCTTCATTCTTTGTTCATTGACGAGTATGGAGTCAACTGGCAACACGACGGGGGGCTCGAAAGGATGTAGCTTGGAACTCGCCAAATTCATTTGACGATGTCGATGGATTGATCACATTTAGGTAGGGTCGTAGAGGTATGACACCGACGGTGTTGGATTGGAAGTTTGACGTGCACCTCTCTTTTTATCTCTTGTATTTTTCCCACCACACATTCGTTTGTGCGAGGCTTGCGAGCCTTGTGACATATATCACCAAACCTTAAGCTCTACCACAGTAGAATTATTGTTCTATTCCAAAATTAAAACAAGTAGGATTAGGACTAGAATTGTAAGCTTTTTTTCTTCTACAACACACGTTAGGACTATATAATTATCGCACATCAAACCACGTTCTTCCTACATATTTCTTTTGAAAATTTGTCTTCCAATAAAAATTATACTCCCAGATTTAGATTTTGAATACTGCAGGTCTTCAGAAGGTGAAATATAAGATGTTATAACTCTATACTAAAACAATTACAAATAATTCTAACTAATATATTTATTTATCAAAAAATAATGCTAACAATAAGTGAACACTAACAAGACTCCATTTTGTTATGCAGTAGACATTCTCTAATGTATGTACACTACATACATAAAAGAATATAATGAATATAGTTTTATCTTGATATTTTTTCTATTTTTACTTCTTGTTTACTGTTTTTTTCAGTATATATTTTTTTAAATATTTAGCAAAATTTATAACTGTAAGGATATATAAATATAGTGTGAATTATGTTGTGGAATTGAATAATAATAATAATAATAATAATAATAATAATAATAATAATAATAATAATAATAGCTAGATGTGATCACAATTGGTTGGGACGAAGGAGATGGAGTCCTTAACCAGATCATGAATCACCATCATATTCTGCTGTTGTATATTCCCTATTATAGACATCCCCCCTTCCCCGCCGCCGCCGCCGCCGCCGCCACTACTACTCCCCATCGCCAGGCACGCCACCCCGTAGCTCTTGTCTGCCACCACGTAGTTCTCTCCGGGGAGTTCCAGATCCGCGCCGCCGCCCAGGTGGAGCGTCAGTTTCGGCACCGCGATCTCCTCCGCATCCGGCGGCAGCCTGAAGCACAGATCCAGTCCCGTCGCCCCGGATTCGTCCGCCGCCAGATGCCCCATCTGCCTCTTCAGTTCCTCCTTCAGCGCCCCAAACGCCTCCCCGTTCAGGTACGTCAGGGTCGTGCCGGAGTCGACGATCGTCCCGCCGCTGCCGTCGCTGTTCAGCTTGAACGCCGTCTCCGCCACGGGGAGGCGAGTGCGGCCCAGGGATATCCCCTCGAGGGTAATATAGTAAAAGGACGGCTGGGACGGGTTTCTTACCAGAGGGGTAGTGACTTTTTTGGAATTCCCGATTTTGTCCTCCTCCCCCCCGGCTATAGCCCCCATCAAAAGCGTGCTGGTCGAACCGCCGCCGTCTATTGCGGTTAGGCAATACGAAAACTTTGGTTCTTCGAGCTGGGAAACCAGGGAGAGCGGACCGCGGCCGAGACCGACCAGACCGGACCCCTGACTGAACCCAGACCCCTCGTTGTCGCCGCTGCAACCGAAGGCTACTTTCCCGGCGGTGACATTGCCGTCGAATGTGAAGACCTCGGTGGCCATGACGCCTTGGGTGGTGGAGTAATCGCCGTAGGAATACGTGTACTCGCATCCGCCGCCGCAGGAGGACACGGGCAGGGCGGAGCAGAGGTTGCTGGAGCAGGGGAGGCGGGAGAAGGAGGACGACTTCTCCGGGTCGAAAACCGGCGTCCTCTGCGGGAAGCACAGCCGGCACGGCTTGCACTGAGTCCAGATCAAGTCACTCCCCGTGTCCACAATCGCCTCGAACGGGGCCGGCGGGGTCCCGATAGACATCTCCACCAGGAACTCGCCGGACCCGGGGCGGACCCTCGACTCCACCTCCGTCCCCGCCACGCTCAGCCTGAGGGCCCCGCGGCTCGCCGCGCGGCTGAGGCGTTCCAGGCCCGTCAAGTTCCCCCCGGAGTGGACCCGCCGGAGAGTCGCCCTGAACCCTTTTCTGGCGAACCCTCCCAGGCTGTTTCTCGACGTGGAAGTCGCCGGAAAAGTTGAAACAGAAACCACCACGGCGATCCATAACATCAACAAGGGAAAAGGGTACGCCATTTTCGTCTTGTCCTAAGAGATATATGGAAGAGGAGGGGACAAATTATAGGCTCATATATACCTGCGAGACGTGTGTATTTGGGTTCGTGTATTAGAGAGACAAAAAGTAAAGTGAGATAATTAGGAAACTTAATGGGGACATAAATCAAGAAGATGAACTTCGTACTTTGTAGAATGAAACTAAATTATGTACTCTGTATCAACAAAAAAGAATGTTCATATTGCAGTAAAATCATTATCTGCGGGGATAAAATATTAAATACCTGCAAAATTAGGCGCTAAATTTAATTATATCTATAGCGGAGTATATTTTAGCATATATACTCGGTTGCATGTTTAGTGAAATTTAACGTAAACTTAAAGAATGCGTGCTTTATTTCTTGTTCTCCAATATTAACCCTTAGAGTACTGGAAGCCGGGGGGCTTCAAATAAGGACTTCAAACACTCTCTCTCTTTGCAAGATCAACTTTAACTTACACTAAATTTTCACTTAAATTAAATTAATAACATTTTATCAATTAACTGAATTTAAATGAAAACAAATTATGAAATAAAACAATCAATAAAAAGTAAATTAACAAAATAAGATTTGAGTAATAACAACAAAAAATATAAAAAATTATATTAATTTATGAAGAAATTACTGATTATTCGAGCGACTAAAAATATCTTCATTCAAATTGGGGTTGTAGTAACATATTTCAAACTGAAATAATTCATTAAATAAAAAAATACCGTCAATAAAAAAAGTACTTTAAATTTAAAAAAACAACAAAAAAATTGCATTACTAAAGAAAATTTAAACAAAAAAATATTACATTAAACAACAAAATATAGAGTAAAAAAATTATGTTTGTGTATGTTTTATTTTTTTAAAGAGAAAGAATATGAAGAGTAAAAAAATATTTAGCCTTATGACATTAATGTAAATTTTTGTTGTTTTTTAATGGAGGGACCCACACGGCGCCGCACTATTTCTCTCCTCTCCTCATTAAACTTTTGATGCATAAGGGATGAAGCCCGTATGAAGCCCCAAGGGGGCAGTGTTTACTGGCCCTTTGGCGTTAGAAGCAGCAATAACGGCCCCGGCGTTACAACCAATTCCATTGCCCTTAAGTACGGGTTGACAAAAAAACCGAACTAACATGGTATTATGAAATATTTGCACTAAAACATAAGTCAATTTTCAATGTAAGACTTAAATTTTTTTATTCCCTAAATAACACTTAATAATGTCTAGATGGAGGAATAATGTCCAGTGATGGTGAATATTTACTTGAACAATGACTAATGGATAATGATAAAAAGTGCTACATTGAGAAATAAAAACATATGATGCTATTTAGAGAAAGTCATTATGTTTTAGTATTATTTCCGTAAATTCCTCATGGTACTCTACCGGACTGTAGTGGTACCAAACTATTTATAGTGTTTTGAAAGGGAATTTATTTTTTTCTATCACGAATCGAAACCGAATCGATATCACACCGGACAAGACCGTGATACAAATATTTAAAACCGACTATCACGATTATGATACCGTATATAGAAATTTCAAAATACTTTTTGGCATTATACATTGACATGATTAGCATTGTTTATGCATTTAAACTCTTATTTTTGAAATGAAAATATGAAATTTCTATATTCATAACTTTTTTTTATATTTTTACTCCTACCTTAGTCTTTGTTTTTCAAATAAATACGAGAACTAATAATATTTAAAAATTAATGTGGTTTGGAATATAAAAGGTTAGGTTGTCTCTCTTTGAAGGTTAACCTACAAACATAAAACCGGCCTATAACACTTAAAAAATTGAGTAGAGAGGCATTTCATTCCCAGAGGAATGGATTTCTGGAAGTCACGCAATAATCAAGCAAGTGAAATATACCAAACGTGCAGTGTATTCCAAAAACCCATTTTGTTTTTTTTTTTAATTTTTGGAACAAAGTAGTATAAATTAATTAAAAAGAAGCAATAATGAATTCAAGAGGTGAACCAACCCCCTCTCCTCTGCTCTCGGGTGAATGAAAAGTTCGTGCTAATAGATGTGCGCTCTCAGTAGCAGAGCGCAAAATAAAACGAAAAGAAATACCTCATTGCCATAGCTTATGCTTTCGTTGGATCATAGCTACCTAATATAAATTAAGCACCCGAGCAAGCTATTTTAGATTTTTAGATCGGGTCTAAGATAATTTGCTAAGTTTAATACGGAATACAATAAAAGACACAGAAGATAAGGGATGACCGGTAGGACTGTAGGTGGAAACACATATAGCACGATTGTTATTTAAAATACAGATTATACGGGCAAGATTACAATGCACACATTTATAGAGATAAAATTCACATCTCCAAGACTTAGAGTTTAAAGTAGTATTTATAGTAGGACTAGAGGGCAGGACAAGGGTGCCCGCGTCGGACCACGTGCCCTGACGGCGCGAGGTGACTTCCTTTTGTCCCGTAGTGTGTCTCGTTCCTTTGTTGACTTGTGCTGATGACAACTACCTTGGCGTGTAGTGCTTGGACGAGAATGTTGAAATATTTACTGTAATTGTTCATGGAATTTGATCGCTACCAGCCAACCGTACTTGGAGTTACTCGTGCTGACACTTTTAAGTGAGAAGGTATATAGTACAGCTGGTTGTACCTAGAAATAGGTACATCCGGATTGTGCTCATTTTAAAGTAAAGTAGTACTCATTCTCACACAATTATTTCATACAATTATAATATTCATTTACAAATAACATAGTGTTCATTCTGAAACAAAGTGGTACTCATTATCAAATAAAGTAGTGTTCATTCTCAACTAAAATACCATTCATTCATTCCACTTAGTTTAAAATCAATCTCATCTCTTCTTTTCTCCCTCACGAAAAGCTGAATTATTTCGGACTAAAAATTTCCCAAACCCTTAGACTCCCCTTGAAGACTTCTTCTTCTCCACCATCATCTTCACCATCACCTTCGCATCACCACCATCTTTGTTCCCTCGCTGCTCCTGTACTGCCTTCTTTTTCAGATCAAACGCACCTAGAGTTTGACTCAATCGCACTCCATTTCCGCCGGCTGTACTTGATCGAGCTCCACGCTAATTTCCGCCTGCTGTACGATTCTTCCCGTATAGCCGGCTGTACGATATAATTTGGGCTTTTAAGTAGGTACAACCTACCCTATAAGTTTACTAGATACGGAATAGAAGATAAGCAAAGTCAAGTCACGCTCCCCCACCCGTAGAGTTACCAAACTCTACCAGTTAGGGGTGGACACGGTACCGGTACAGTACCGGTACCGGAAACGGTACCGCCGGTTCCGGTACCGTTACCGTCGGCCGGTACGGTCCACCGGTTCCGGGAACCGGTACCGGTACCGCCCAATCCGGTACCGGTTCCGGTACCGTTATTATTATTATTATTATTTTTATTTCATTCTTTCCTTTATCAATTTCATTTTTAGATTTTTTTATTTCATCATTTCCTTTAACAATTACACATTTACAATTTTACATTTTAAAAATATAATAAAAAAGTAAAAAAAAAACAAAATTAGGGGTGGCCGAAACGGTACCGGAACCGGCGGTACCGGAACCGGAACCGGTACCGGTACCGGCCGGTCCGGTACCGGTACCGGTACCAAGGGGTGGCGTTACCGAAACCGGCGGTTCCGGAACCGGAACCGTCCCGGAACCGTACCATGTCCACCCCTACTACCAGTGTAGAATTAATTTGATTGAGTGAATGTTAAAGTAAGCTAAATAATTTTAGGCCGGTGACCAGTGCGCTCTCTCCGTCTCCGGCACCTCCCACCTCCGTCTTGACTGCGGCTCAGTGACCACTGCGGCGGCGCAGCGATTCAGGCCTATTCCTCAGGCAACAGCTCCGGTTCCTTCTCCTGTTCTAGGTAAATACTCCGTATAATTTTAATCGTTTTAGACACTTTTTAATTATTATTTTTGATACGTGAATCTGTAATTTTTGGGTTTGTGAACTATGAATTTGTGATTAGGTTAGTTTTCACTATATGGATTAACCATAGTGCTGTAATTTTTCATATCTGGTGCATGATTCAACTGCCGGCAATGTTTTTCATTCCACCAAAATGGGGCAAATGACATTAGACACAATTACACAAACAAGCAAATCAATAAAATGGGAGTGGGGGAAGAAAAATGATTTACTGGTGTAACAACTCATTTATCATGGAAATAAAGTTATTTAAAGAAAATCAAAGTATTTAAATGTATAAATTTGGAAACCTATAGAGACAGTGGTTCTCCGGCCTTATCTGTGAGGTTGGAAAGTTTAAATGTTTCAACATAGACATAATTAACCACAAATAAGAGAAACCCCCTCACATAACGGGTGTGGAGTGGCTATATAAGTGCTGGAAGCCAAATGTGCTGAAAGAAATTCAGGTGCAGATCTTCCTCCATCATCATGAGAACAATCTCTGCTCAACATTGCCAGAAGCTGACTATACTGGGAAGCTGTAAGAGACACTGGCAGATCAGTGGAGGTAGAAGCATGATCCACTGTGGCTCATTTCTTCTCCTTCTTTAGTAAAGACATGGCTAGCTAGCTTTTGTGCTTGAGCATGATTTCAATCTCCTCGTGACTGATTCCCTTTAGGCTTGGGATAAAATGTATCTTGAAACATCTCTCAATGGAATGCCCATACACCTTGCAATGCTGACAAAATAATTTGGATTTTCTTCCACTTGGTGTATTACAAAAAATAAGCCTGTTATTGTGAGATGCATGACCCTGATTGTGCTAAACTGAATCTAGAGCAGCGAAATCATATGTCATGGGTGCTGAATTCACACAATCCCTTTGAGTTTCATCTTGAGTGATCAATTTGTAAGCTTGATTTAGGTTAGGAAGAGGCCTCAACATCAAGATGTTTCCTCTTGCAATTTTGTAAGTATCACTGAGCCCCATGAGGAATTGCATCAGCTGTTGATTCTGGAGTAATTTGAAATAGCTTCCTTCAGAATCACACTTGCAATTAGGAAGTGTCACCATGGTAAAGTAGATGTCCCACAATCCTTTCAGTTTTGTAAAGTACTCAGACACGGAATCAGTTCCTTGCACTAGCGTAACCATCTCTTTATGCAGTTGAAATAACCTAAGAGCATTGCCTTGACTGAACCTTTCCGAGAGATCTTTCCAGATTTCCTGCACAGATTCGCAATACAGAATGCTACTTGCGATTGCAGGTTCAACGGAATGCAGAATCCAAGAGATCACTAGATTATCACA